TTGACAAATATTTATAATCATTGATTTATCGATAGTTCATCAACTATATATGGCGCGTTTTCGACCGGAGGCACCGGTTGACCTGAAGTGATGCTGTGACCGCGTGCTCTCCGCCCTCTATCTCGAAAACGGTTCACAGTATAAAAATTTTTTTTAAACAAAATTTGTAGAGAATTTTGTATTCTACAATATTGATAATAAATACAAATAGCAAATAACCCATAGGAAATGAGATATTTCCAAAAAAAGCGCAAAAAACCGATTTTTGTGACCTTTAACCTTGAAATTTAATAGTTGCTTACACCCTACCCTATGTAGGTTTTGAGACAACTTTTAGGGTGTCAATATACAAGTATTTACAGACTTACAGCTGGGTATCTCGAATTCCGAGGTGAACTTACTATAATGACTGGACTAACTGTGGCATTGCGTACCTAGAACAGATATCTATGGTATAAATAAGGATAGCTCTGTTAGTATGATTAGTTTGATCTTTTTTCTCGAAGATAATCACCTGGTGATCGAAACACGTGTCGAGGTGTTAAAATAACGGTTCGATGTTGGGAAAACTCCAGTAATATTCGTTCCTCCAATAATGTTTTATGTAATGTTTTATGTTACGTCACAGGACCTGATTATGGTTCCACCAGCTGTATCATTCAAAAGTTCAATTGAATATACCTACCTTTCTCTCATTAGAAAGATATCTAGTGAAGTGTATTCCATCCTCAATGTATATTACTCATAATTTCATCACATATAATTGCGGATTTTACGCTGAACATCTGTTTACGATGATTGTTGTCCAATGATTTCGAGAATCTATGTCAGCATTAACGAATGATAAAGTTGGTCTTTATTGTGAAGTGGAAATGAGATTGCAGTAAACTGCAATTGTGAATAATTGAGTGGTGTATGCAGAGCGACCGTTATTTACAAATAAAGGATCTTTTCAGGTCATTATGTTAGCATATCATGCTGATAATGTAACAAAACATCAAATGATCGTTGCCTATTTTATTCATTTTTGTTGTCCTTCAAACTGGTATTGAGTTTAGGACTGCCACATTTTCAGTGCCCAAATTTAACGAATTATTTGTTTGTTGTTTTTTAAACACAGAAATTTTATAAAATTTATACGTTTCATTTCCGAATTATAGCAACAAATCTAGATTATCGAGTTTGTCTCTACCTGGAAATAACAATCATACAAACAACAATATTTTTAACCTTATGGATTCGCTAACCTAGAAACGGGTCATTAAAATTCAGAAACTGCAAAGCCAACAACAATGGTTATGTATTATACGCTCGGTGAACAAGAACAATATGGTGAATCACGAAAATATGAAAAATAGAAACGAGGTGCTACCTGCTTCTTTATTTTTTTCGATGAAGCAGGTGCGAATTATTTTGTTTTTCTTGTTGGCGTGATAGGAATGAGTGGATAAGTATGCTCAGTTTCGTTTCAATGCTACAGTAAACTGTTTATGGCCGACTATTGAATGATTTAATATTGGAGTCAAGGATTTTTATTCGAATTCTTGGTTGACCCGTGAAAGAAAATATAACTCCATGACAATACAATGGAATAACCTTAATTTATGTACTTTATTTATTTATGTATGTGAATATGGTGTCTAACCGAAAACATCACAGAAAGTACGACAAAATTTCAGAAAAACAACGACACACATCTTTTTTTTCAAAGAAAGAAAACTTTTTTTGTATTCGTGACTTGGCCAATTTCACTCTCGCCCAGGTGTAGGTTAGATTATGTTATGTTCAAAGTGTGTAGGTCTGGTCAGTGTGGTCAGAAATCTAGACCATAAACAATTTATCAAGTCTCCCTATGAGAAAAATGTATGTTTCAATTTTCATAACTCCGTAATTATTGATTCTTCGAGTTCGGTTGAATGGGCAAACTAGTAGCATTTTTGATGGCCTTCTTGATGCCGAAAACAAATTAATTGACAGTCGCGTTTTCAAAATATTTCATAAAATGATATATTTTAAATGGAACACCCTATATTTTATAATGCATTTCGATTCGTAATAACATTCTCAATATCAACACTTGAAATCGTATTTGAGTAACAGGAAACAAAAAGAACATATTAGGCAACGATTGNAAAAGTTTAAAAAGTCACATAGTTTAAATACCAGTAGGTACTGAAACACAGTAATTGAAATTAATTGTTTATATAATTTTAATTTCTGTCTGAATAGAATTCGTCTAAAGAATAAAAAGTCTTCGAAATCAGAAGCTTTTTTACAGACTTTCTAAATTTAGTGGTATATGTTATGCCTTTGATCCCAATTGGCAAATGGTTAAACATTTTTTTTCCATTATATATGAAAGACCTCTCAATTTTTGATGATATTGGAATCGGTAAACCTATATCGAGCTCATTTCTGGTATTTCGTCGTGGTGAAATGAAAATTTCCGTCCTGTATTTTTTTTTTCACCAGACATAACATTTCCGATATAAGTATGGAAGGCAAGGTCAAGATTGTATGCTTTCTGAATGAATGTCGACAGGAATTCCTGAATCCAACTCTACACATATTTCTAATTTTCTCTTTTTTGTAGTACAAACACCCTATCAAACATATATTGGCAACACGTTCCCCAAAAACAAATACCGTATCTCAGATGGGAATCGATGAGAGCAAAGTACACATTTTTTGCCATATTAGTGGCCAACTCATTTGCTGATACTGTGACTGCAAAGCATCCTGATGAAATTTTTTTACATAGGTTATTTATGTGACCTTCAAAATCCAAATTTTTATCAATTTGTAATCCCAGAAATGTTGCTGACATCTTGTTTTCTATTAATTGAGTACCTAGGTAGATATCTAGAACACCGCAAGTAACTGTCTGGAGATGGGATATGTTGTCCGGGAGTTTGACTTTCTGAGTACGTTCTGACAGGTATGATCTGAACCATTTCAAAGATATATCTCTAAAGCCATACACTTCCAGTTTTTGCACCAGAATTTCATGATCCACGCAATCGAAAGCTTTTGAAAAATCGCAAAAAATTGCCGCTGCTATTTCACGATTATTTAAATTGACATATACGTTTTCCAGTAGATGAAACATAGCATCTTCCGTGTTTTTCAAACTCTGAAACCCAAACTGACTGCTACTAATAATATTATGCTTTTTCAAAAACGTCATAATTATTTGTTTAACAAGTTTTTCTATGATTTTAGCAAGGGTAGGTAGCATAGAAATAGGCCTAAAGTTTGCAGGATTGTTAGAGTCGCCTCCTTTGTGCAAAGGAATAACAATTGCTGTTTTTAAACATGCCGTAAATACACCCGTTATGAAGCTTGTATTTATAGCTTCTACCAAAGCGGTGATAGCGGAATTGGGCAACTTGGTAAATACTTTTATGCTCATGTCATCCCAACCAGCAAAAAACGTTTCTGAAACTGATTTGTCTTTAAGAAAAGTCAAAGGATTAATATTGGATTTTATATCTTTGGATAAATTATGTGCCACCGTGCAGTAGTATTTGCTAATACAATCAGATTTTAGCTCAGTTTTCGTAGGAGCAATATTCTTTTTTCCCTTGAGGTCATTGATGATTGCCCAGCTTTCTTTTTGTTTGTTTGCAGACCTTTCCATTTTTTTTCATACAATGAAGTTGTTTTGCAGTCCTTATAGTTCTTATAAATGTTGTACCTATTATATAGGGAGTTGAAGCTTTCATTGTTACCTAAATATTTTCGAATCAAATATAAATTAAACATTTTATGTTTTCATAATCAATTTTTATTTTTCCTCACAGATGACGTCGGTCTGATTTCTTCCTGAAATGGCAAGACGTGTGGCCAAAAATCACTATATTGCCTCTCCAAGGCACAGTCATTCTCCTACACCTGTACATGTAGCCAGGAGCGCAGCCTACTCAGATGGAGAAGAAAGCCAAAGGGCGCCGTCAGAAAGAACCCTATCCGAATATACATCAGTGGTGAGTTATTGCATTATTAGCGCTAGACGTTAGGAATTATATTTTCCATAAACCACACAACAGTTTTGGCCGGTGTTAATGAAACTATATATATAATAACAGGTTACCTGATTTATACAGGATGTTTATCAAACATGCAGCAACAAATGAAGGGACTATTCCTTGGACTATTCTAAGGATCTTTTGTCCTTTGATGATTTTTGATAGGGCGCTTTGTTTCAAAGATACGGGGCGAAAACAAATATCGACAATAACAATTTTGATAANTTTGTATGGTGAGTGGTCTTTCAGGTCAGATGGTAAGAGTACGGCTCTGCCGTAAGTATGTGCTCTGCTGTTTCATCATTTTCCAAACAGATGCGACAGACACTGTCTTCCGACAGTCCGAGTCTCTGCATATGGTGATTCAAATGACAAATACAGTAGGGATGCACTACAGTAGGGATGAACTACGTTGTTAGACATCGTAGTCCAACAACTGTTTGGTATCAAGCTTCGAAGAGTGAATAAACGCCTTGGACTGAGCAAATCCTGGAAGATTCTGCCAGAAGTCCATAAATATTCTTTGGTAAACCCTAAACGGATGCCAATGACAGGTTCTGGTCCTATGAAGCTGCTTGCAGCTCCCTCCTTTGCAAAGGAGTCAGCATCCTCATTGTCTTCCAGGCCAGTATGGCCAGGAATCCAGACCAGAGACAATCTGTTTCGTCTTCCTATCGAGGCGACTCGTTTTTGGCAATTTGCTACAAATTTAGACGTTGCTCGGTAGGCGCCAAGAGCTTCCAACGCCGCTTGACTGTCCGAGAATAGTTTTATTGACTTGTGTATGTGTATGTATGTGTATTCAATAGCGTAAATTTCCGCTTGAAATACACTCGCATAGGTTCCTTGATATCTCTGTCCTGTGTCTGCGACTGAAAACACCTGCACCAGAACCGGAAGGTGTTTTTGATTCATCTGTGAACCAACAACAATTTGCTGTTAATATTTCCTTCTCCCGCAGGATCCAGTCCTCTCTACACGTCGTCTTGATTTCATCCAGGTTGGAGCCCAGCTCCTACCCTTTTAGCTGATTTTTGACGAAGAAGGACAAATAGGTTCATGACTAAGGAGATATTGGCGGTATAAAGTCTTTAGACATCAATGCCGCCCTTCGCGGTGTTCCCCTATCTGGCTGGGGTGGGATGGATGAAAAACCTATTCGTCCGTTAAAGGGAAACATGAGGGCCTCATTCGACAGAGTGTCGGGAGCTTCTATATCGGGAGAGGTCATCTACAGCATAATCTATAGCTTCCCTAACTAACAGTCCTTTCTACTCGGGAACAGTACTTTATAAGGCAGCTCCTAAAGGACAGTTGGATGCATAAAGTCAGAGGTCATTTTCAGAATGCTGTAACTTCCAGTGTCAACCAGCAGTCTGTTGTACTTTGCTTCAAACTGATTTGTTCGATTGGCAATATGCACAAGTCTATATGCAGTCCACCTAGCCTCTTTCTCTCCAGAAAAATGTGGAGAGGAGGTAGATCTAGAAGGATCTCCATGGTCGCTGACGGTGTGGTACTGATGGCATCACTGATGGCCAGACAAGTCCGTCTCTGTAAGCCTGGGTTGTTTTCTGTAAAACCTTCGGCCACCAGGCAATTGCACCATAGGGAAAATGTTAATCTGTGATTGGAATCACTTCGGTTTGAAACAGCTAGGTCAAACTTTCCTTCAATTTTTTGCTACGATCATTTTTACCACAAACATGGGAAATAACTCTCGACGGACAAGTTCGTGCGTTTATTTGAGGTAACTCGTAAAGCTAATAAACGATTATTTATGTAGGTAAATAGTCGAATCATGTTGTACTTGAAATTTATTGGAACCTCGCATTACCAAAGCAAGTTTCTCTTTTGTACAAAGTCGGTGACAATTTTTATAAAGTTGTGTCGTGAATCACTAAATTCAGGGTCAGATGTTATACTCGTACACTTGCACTGGAGACTTTGAACTTTACGGAAAAGTCTAAGTGAATAATGCTATGATAATGCCAAGAGACGTGTCTTTTAAGCACATCAGTTAGGGAAAGTTGTGTGAATCTCAATTAGATCTATTTTTTGGATAAACTGTAAGCATTTCTGAGATAAATTCACATAACTTGCCTGACAGTTCATTTTTGAGTTAGGTACCATGAATGAAAACTGTTTTCCGAAACAAGTGTGAAAATCGAGAGTTCTCTGGGTTGCCAAAGAAAGGACGCAGTTCTTAGTGAATAAAAAAAATTCATTTTTGGGAAAGAAAGTTTTTGGCTTTCAACTACTTCATCTTGATACAAAAAAAAAGGAGAGGGAATCTTCCAAAGAAAGGAAGGAAGTAATCAATTTGAAAATAAGTAACTCTATACATGGATGTGTAGATCATGCAAAGAAGTAAGTTCCAGACACAAACTGAAAGAAAGTCATCCTGAAACAGCTACTTTCATATAAACATTGAATTACACGAAAGAAAAACATTCTTTCGAAACAAATACTTCTATATGAACACTGAATTATACAGAAGATACTTTTCTCTACTCAGTTTGTATTTCAAACATT